CCCCAAAACCCCAAAACCCCAAAACCCCTGTGAAGGGTGTAATGGTTGAATGGTTGAAAATTTTTATGAAGTTTTGGAGAGATTTTGAATGAATTTTATTGGGGTTAGGAGGTTTTTAGTTTGTTTGGTGGGATTCCTGATTTTTTGGGTGGTTGGTCGGGGTTAAATGATTTTAGAGAGCTTAAAAATATCAAAGCAAAAATAAGCATTAGTAGGAGGGGATTGCAGAAAGCAATCTGTATCAATTTGTATTCGTATGAATTTTCATATTCGATCCATTGATGATACCAATCCATGGAGTCTGCTAGCTTCGCCATTAAGTTTATGAGTCCAACCATTTCGTTCCTGGTAAGTCTGCTCTCTTGCCCTTGCCCAAACATAATCTTCATGACAGCAGTGAGGCCAGTGAACTGAAGCTTTCCATAGAGCTTACACTTCTCGCAAGGAATACAATCAATGATCTTGGTGATATTGTAGAACACAGGCTTGATAGTGCTTATGAACTGCTCTTTAGTCCACTGAGTTAGCAAGTTGTCTTCTTTAAAAGGATTCTCTCAGATGTTAATAGAATCTTGAATTAGATTCTTCATAGTTTCTTTAACATCATTATCAACTTGAGGGTTCTCAGAAAGATATGAGAATTCATCAATTTTCTCCCCTAATTTTTCAATAGCTTTTAGAGTCAAAGAATAAGTAAAAACAAAATTTTCGAGACGATCCTTGTGAAAACCAACCCTCTTCAAGTACTTTTCATGATTTGGAGGAAGAGGCTCTCCATGTAAATCGTAGTCATGATGAGTAATATGAAAATCTACATTTGCTTGCACTCCACTTATCAATTTATAAAGTACATGACTTTCTTGTCATTTGTCATGATCAAACAAGGCCATTCAGTTTTCTTGGTATATTGCCTTCCAGAGATGACTTCCATTAAAGAAGGTCCATGAGTGGCTATTTTTCATGAGATTTACGAATAATGCTTGCTCATCATTCTCCTCTATCTCCATCCATTCATCGACATGAGTATTGGGTAGGAATGAATTTATCATTGACATTTCAGAATTCTGAAGGTTTCTTTCTACATCGAATGTCTGATTACACATCTTGAACTGGCTAGGGACCTCAGTATCATCACATTCATCTACCATTCATTTGTTAGAGATACAAACGCCTTCTGTTTTCCAGAACTTTCATTCTTTTTCAAGATTTACCTTGAAAATTCTGAAAAATACAGATTCCCTCAACTTGTTGAGATCGGAGTGGATTTTAGAATTTATAGAATGTAGTTCTTCAGCAGTTGTACATACATCATCAATTTGCCCACTGAGAACCTTACTTTTTGGCATGTTTTTGAAAATATAGTGGATGTATATAGCTACTATGAACATGAGAATAGTTGTGGATATTTTTAGAATCATGATGGATATTTAGTTCAAAAATTTTATTCGGGATTGGGGTTTTGGGGTTTTGGGGTTTTGGGG